ATGAATGAGTCAGAGCAAGGCTTTGGGCATGTTTTTTATGAGAGTGTAACATTATAACATGATATAAAACTCAAAAAAGTTGATTTTACATGATATTGCCCCTTTAAATTCTATGTATTTTTATGCAGTCATAAAAGTACTGAACAACATTGAGAACTACATTTGTTTTTCACATTTCTTCTTCCATCCATTGACCCTTAATTAAAAATTAACACGGTGCTTTAAAGAATAGATGCAGCATCAGGACATAAAGTATCGCAATATTTTTATGGCCCTGACTTCTGCGACACAAACAGTCACTAATGCACAATAAAAAAAGCAACAATGTAACAAAATTATCAATAAAACAATGTCAACAACAAATACCTTTCATTGACACAATGAGGAAGGGTTCTGTTAATGACAAACTCATTTAGAGACTCTACACTGACTCTATTTTCACTTTATTTAAAAACATTGTCAGTAGTGCAAATAAAGTGTGAACAAAAGCATCAGTCTAATTATGCTAGCAGTGGTGAGCAACACTAATCTAAAAATTAGTTGCACTAACCCTAAAGCACTAACTCTAATATTTAGATTCCCTAATTCTAAAACACAAATGCACTTAAAAATTTAGTAAAAGCTCATTCTAAAGCACTAAAAACCCAGCTGACCTTTGGAATGTTCCTCAGTGTCAACATGAGAATATTTTCTGTGTGCAGAATATTGTTAATATTTCATCTTGGGTAGGGGTTCCAAAACCTGGTGTCAGGACCTCCTTGTGGGTCACAAAACATCAAGTGAGGGTCCCCAGATGACTTCCAGACATCAATTTAAATAAAAAAGGCTAATATACTATTCATTTTCATCATGATTATTGCAATTTTTTTAAATAATCACAATTGAATACAAATTAATGTCATAGTTACTAGGTTTTTCTCATGTTTAACAGAGTTATTTGCGAAGTTTTCATACATAAACAAGTAATATATGAGGTCACGAGTGTCTACAGCTGTTATTTTGTGGGTCAGAAGCAAAAGAAAGTTTAAAAACCACTGATGTAGTGGATAAGTGACACACCTGAACAACATGTCTGACAGCTTTCACACTCAGCTGTTGATAGTAATGTTGATCAATAATATTTAAAGGACTCAATTAGTGATTATAAATTTAGCCCATACATTTAGCAGGTGCTAATCCACTAATGAGTTAAGAAATTAGCAAAACCCTTAACCTCTTAAGCCCCCAAGGGGTTTTCTTGAAGTTTCAACTGTGTCTGGTGGACGTGAAAATGGTTTTTATGAGGTTTTAGCCAAGATCCTGACGTTTCTATAGATACCACACATGTTTATGTTTAACTAAGAGAACTTAGGTTAATGAAGACAACAACAACAACAAAAAAAATTATGATTTTGCCCCCGTCGGCGGGGGCGTGGTGCTCAAGAGGTTAAAGCACTAATCAGGAAATTAGTTCCCCTATTAGTGTTTTAGTGCTTTAGGGTAAGTGTGCCCACCACTGTATGCTAGTATCAGTCCGATACGATGCTCATCTTGGTAATGATACTGTCAATATTTCGATCAATACGTCCACCCCTACTAACCTCCACCTCCCGTAAAGTAACTGAAGGCGTGCCTCAAGGATTGGTTTTCGGTCCTTAACTCTTTTTTTTTTTAATATTTTGTTTTATTACTTAATTTAAAACTTTGACACATCATTGTTCCACTTTTATGTTCCATCAACCTGAAAACAGCTTCATATAGTCTAAAAAAGAAGAAGATGGTTTTGATAAAGTGCCTTTGATGCAGGAAGTTTTTAACAAAGATCATCGTATGAAGAGAAATGACAGACTTGAAGCTGTTTTGGTTGAACCTTAATGGTAACATATGATTAATATTTTACAGATATGTTTTTCAGAAAAGACAAACTGACTTTGTGTGTTCCGGTGGATCTGTAAAAGTTTTCAGCTGAAACAAAGTAGACGTAAACAGAGAGCTGTCTTGGAGAGGGCAGCTCGTCAGCTCTGCCTCAGACTCACTCAGATTGAATTATCTGATTGCCCGTCAACTCCTCGACTCTTTCTGCGATGACGTGACGTCGCTGCGCTTCGGCCCGGCCTCGAGTTAATGGAAAACCCATCGCTGAATACAAATCCCAACAATCCAAGCCGTTCCTGGCTCTTCAGTGGTGATTACCTCTTCAGAGAAATCACCGGGCCACCTCCATGGGACCGCTCAGGCTCTGAGACAAACGGTTTTTATATCGCTCGTCATCAGCCGTCATCCATCAGAAGAGATTTGGTTTTATTTCTTTATTTTGTTGAAAACATGTTTGTGTTTGAGAGCCGATCCTGAATCATTAGAGGCGTCAGGTCCGTTTGTCCGTGACTCTGATGTGGCGAAGACGACCTGTCGCTGCCATGACATGCCGTAAATGAGTTCATGGTGTGTGACGGCTGCTGATGAGCTCGTCAGACTCACCTCTGTTTCTGTGACCTGATCCGAGGACAGCTCCGATAGGTTTTATGATTAAAAAATATCATTTCTTTCTCTCTGTTTGCTGGTTCCTGCTACTTTTCTGATTCTGATTTGTCTCGTCTTGTTTTWTCTTTGTTTTCTCATTTGTCTCCTGAGTCTCATCAGGTCTGTCTTCTTTTTAATCTGTCTCATCTAAATGCATTTCCCCTCTCGTTCATTAACCTGCTGTGGTTTTGTTTTTGTCCAGTGTGATCCAGGAGAAGCCACCAAGCTGCTGTACGACCTGCTCTACACCGAGCCCATCAAGATCGTGCTGATGCCCGGCTGCAGCAGCGTCTCCACGCTGGTGGCTGAAGCTGCTCGCATGTGGAACCTCATAGTGGTGAGGACTTCAGCTTGTTTCAGTTAAAGCAGGGGCGCCCAACATTTTTTGAACCAAGAGCTACTTTTGAAGTCGGCAGTTTGCCGAGATCTACTCGTCCAGTCTCAGTATCAAAAAACACAATTTTTCATCTCCCTACTCCTCACTTCTTTACAGTAAATAAAACAGAACGTAATGTGTTGCTAGTTTTATTTAATTTAAAGTATTGTCAAACAAAACTATCTACTTAACCATATATTTACCTACAAAAAAATAAAGAGATACAATCCTTACTTAACTCCTGACAGAGAAACAGAAAAGTGATGCTCGAACAAAAAGGATAAATTTATTTTACCTCCTTCAATTAGTACTCCCTGTAACTTGTGAGCTATGAGGGCTGAAAACATGCCCAGTGAGAACCACAGACTTAAATAACTTTGGAGCACAGGAACTCGTCTCTATTTATTCAAAGAACTCTTCTCTCGTCTCTCCACACGGGAGGAAAAACAAAACAAAAAGCTATCAGGGTCAACATGGCTACCACAAGAGTACCACCCTTTTTTCAAAGTCAAAGCACACAATATAAAACTCTCTCATTTATACTCTTACAAAAAGTGACTTACGATGGTGCAGATTCACAAATTTGAAACAACTATTTCAAACCTCAGTCTCTGTGTAGCATGCAGGATGGTGTCAACTGTAGGTGCTGAAGAGCTCAGTCCCTCACTGGTCCAGACTGTCGGCTCCAGACCATTCAAAGAGTTCTACCTGGTTCACCACCTATCAGACAAGACACACATACGTAGCTAACGACGCAGCTAATCTACAAACTATTCCCCAAGAATGGAGAGAATCACGTCATAAAAAAGTTAAGAAGGATTCCAAGAAGTTAAAGCGGAAATAAAAAACATATAAGGCAATATAGCGTCGGCGCTAATGCTAAAGCTAACAGGCTAAGCTGAGGTTGCTCTTCCATGAAGCAGCTCTGTTGTCCTCCATCCATATTTTCAGTTCCAGGCTGAGTCATTTCTACCTTCTCCTCTCTGTCAACGCTCTCTGGTTTCATTTAAAAGAGTCGATCATCAGATATTGTCCAAGATTAACCTTCAGGGTGGATATAGCTCGCTAGCAGCCTCGCACCGAGGACCTATCCACGTCATCATTTACCCAGAATGCTTTGTGTGGAAATAAAATGGCTCCGTCCGTGTTAAAATATATTTTTAAACTTTTAGTTTAAAAATGATAAAAACTGAATGTCCTACAGTATTTTTTTACAGTCTTTATTTTACAGTTAAAATATATGTTTATCAAATAAAGTCTAATGTTACAACTAATCCTGGATCTCTTTAAAGCTGAGAGTCTGGGCATGAATTGTCACCATAAGAAGCTTTATCTGAACAAACACTGAAACAGTTTGACTCACAGTAAGTCTGTGGAATCAGAGGGAAATGAATCATTAATTGGGCTGAAGTTTTGGAAATGTTCTCGTAGAAAGATGAGAAGAAGCTTAACGTGACGTAAAACTATGAAAGGTTTCGATGGAACAGAACAGAAGCAGGATCAAAGAGTTCTGTTAAAATACAAACAGGTTGATTTAAACGAGTTTTGTCATCCAGACCTTTTATTTTGCTTTGCACTAATTGCACTTAATTCCAGGAACTGATGCTGTAGTTTACTGATTTTCACACAGAAAGCTTTAATTAGACGTTAAAGGCCTTTCATCATCAGGCTGCGCTGACAGCTGTTCTGCTGAAACGTTTTAAACACGTTCAGGTTTTATTTCATCCGTCAGGTTTTGTTTATTTCTCCTCGTTCTGCGCCTCCGTCACTCACCGCTCGGCTCGTTAGCGTTTCCTCCTAATTGACGTTTGATCCTGAGATTAGTGGTTGTGGCTGTTGGCACCTGCCCTCCTCTTCATCTCAGGTCCTCCTCTGTTCCAGCCTTTCTCTCCTCCTCATTAAAAACTCTTTTTTTTAACTTCTCCTTTTTGCTTCATCTGTTGCCGCTGCCTGGAGCTGGTCGGCTCCTCGTCAGCCCTCCTCCTTGTCTCTCCTCAGCCGCTCCTCATTTCCTGGGCTGGAGCAGCCGGTTCTCCCTGCAGACAAAGGGCTGTGTCTGTCTTTACTGCACGCCACCACTGGCTCAGCCTCCTAACCGCCACGCTCAGTTATTGCTGCGCTGCGCCTGCAGCAGCCTCCTCGCATGTCAAACAGGCTCATCAGGCTTTCAGGGAGGCAGAAACACCCTCTGTTTCTGGACACTGATCAAGGAGGGCCCTCACCGTCGCCTCCTCTCCACACATTCTTAATTTGATCCTCGTCCTTTCCTCCCCGGAGCTCCGGAGGCCACAGACCAGCATCGATCCACAGAGGATTGATGAGCTCAGAATCCAGACGGATTGTTTGGGGAGGGGGGATTGTGGGGACGTTTTAACTCACGACTGAGAGCTGCAGCGTTTTGTTCAGATCTCTGTGCGTCACTGTGTGAACATGTTTACTTTGTTTTGATCTAGATTCAAATGTTGCATTTTCCAGGTGTTAAAGCAGTGAAAAGCTGCTAAAACAGCTGAAAACAGCTCAGTTTGGATTAAAAATGCCTCCATTATAATTCATCTTATTAATGAGTCATCCTCTACAGCTGACAGTTTTACAGCAAACTGACAGGATCAGAACCTCTGAGATCCAACTGGTCTCATGTAGTCATTAGAAGTCTGAAACTCAAAGCTCGGATGTTTTTCCAGATCAGTGAATGCACCATAGCTAACTGTTTTCACGCAAAGTTTTACATTTTATCTTTTCATGACCCCTAAAAGGACCAATTAAAAAGTTCATGAATGCACCACTGATTAATGACAATCAAAAACCTGACCTTTAACTTGGTCCCTGAATCCATCTTTGCCAGAGTTGTAAAGTAACTAAGTACAAATACTTTGTTACTGTACTTAGGTAGAATTTTTGGGTATCTGTACTTTACTTGAGTAGCCGACTTTTTACTTCTACTCCTTAAATTTTTTAAAAATGCAATAAGTAGAAAGTCGTTACTTTTATTTCATTTTTGCTTGT